TGAAAGCAAGCACATAACAGTAACAAAGAAGTTAATAGATGCATCAGAATGTTTAAATAAAACCTTGACAAGAAGATTTTCCACAAGATCAACAGGTCAAGGCTACAAAACCCCCAAACAGCCATGGTGAGACAATTAAATTTGAAAGCTATTCAACTCACTGAGTGAAAGGAATAACTTTTTTTTTTTGGTCAATTGCTCGCTTCCCAGATGGCATTTCTAAATACAGCATAGTAATTGCAAAACCTTCACTTTATTCTATGAATAGATTAAGAAGAGGAGAAGACAGGCAACAAATAATCAAACATTCAAATCATCTGCAGCAGATTCCCCTTGGAAAGACCACTTCCATGACGAATAAAAGCAGGATTGGGAGAATCCAGTTTAATTTTGAACACTCCATTCTACAAATGGTCCTAAATCTGGAAAAGCTCAAGTTCCAGCTGAAACCAAGAATTTACCACAATCCAGGGAGCTCTTGACACAGGTCCTCCTACTTCTTAGTTTGCTTGGACAGGTGCTCATTTGGTTACGATAGCAAATCAAGGAAGTGTTGAAGATGGAGTTGTCAGCTGGCAATTTGGAAGTGAGGAACACAGAAAGTTCTGGGCAAAACTTCAAGAATTGAAAGTTGTGAGCCTTGGGAAAGGTAGTAGAGGAAGAAAGGGAACTATATCATGAGCCACTGAGCTCAAACAAAGACTGTAATGTTTCTTGTTATTTTTTTGACAAAAAATTTTAAAGGTATTTTCCAATCTTAGCTTTAGTATGTAAAGTGTTTATGTTTACTCTCAGTGACACTTATATGTGATTTTTAGGTGCTTTCTGTACTTGAAACATAATGGTGGTATTATGTACAAGTGGTCTATAATCAATCAATTAGTGAAAATTTATTGATTTAAAATGTACAAACTCACAACAGTCCTGTAAAGCAGGTAGTGCAATTATTAAAATACTTGAATACGTCAATACAGATACCAGTTTTAAAGAGTTAACTCATTGATAATTTCTTGAGTTAAAGAATTCCATTCCATGGTACTTTATAAAGAGAAGATTTGCTGATATCTCCTGCTCCTCGGAAAAGGAAGAAGTTAGTCCACATAGTTTTTGGACAATATCCTCTTTGAAACGCAAACCCAGATAAAGGTTCCTATTCTTTCTAAAAGAAACTCTTTAGTGAAGGATTTTAGCTGATCAAGAAGTTTGAAGCAGTTGATTCGTTTTTTGGTTGTTGTCCTTTGTGCTCAAAGAAGACCAAAATGACATCACTATGTTGGAGTCAAGGTACATTGTGTTGGACTGTGGCTGATCAGACCAATGCAAGCTTGGAAGGCTCTTCCACAGACAAGGCACAAGTAGTCCACGTGAACATTTGGAGTGGAGATGTCTCTAAATTTGCACATCTCATGTTTCTTTTGAACTACCAAGGTTCTGCTTTGCTCATAGAGAATAGCACCTGTTTTGGTGTGGGGCATACCATGCTGGATGGTCTTGTGCCAGTGTCTCCCATGTCTCAAAAACTATTTCAAAGTTCTTCAAAGAAACCTGGAGAGTGTCCTTGTATTGCTTTTCTGACCTCCATTGAGCACTTGTCTTGTGTGAGTTCTCTGTAAAATAGTCTCATAGACAAACATACATTTGGCATTTGAACAACATCGCCAGCCCATCAGAATTGTGCTCTCTGCAGTAGAGTGAATGCTTGGCAGTTCAACTCAAGAAAGCACCTTGGTGTCTGGTACTTATCTTGCCAGGTGATCTATAGAAACTTCCTAAGACAATTCAAATGGGAGTGATTCAGTTTCCTGTGCCAACCTCATTATCACTCTGTATATCTCTGGAAAGTATAATGCCAAGGTAAGTGAACTTATCCACAGTATTCAAAACTTCTCCATTTGCTGTAACCTATGGTTCCACATATGGATGGTGTGGGGCTGGCTGGTGGAAAACCTCTGTTTTGTTGGGGTTAAATGCTAAGCCAAAATTAGCATAAGGAGCATCTCAGCCTCAGAGGCTTCATTAAGTACACAATCATCTGCAAACAGAAAGTCACATACCAGCTCTCCCTCTCCTTTAGTTTTGGCTTGTAGCCTTTCCAGTTAAATAAGTTCTCAAAGGCAGGACCTACCCATAATGGAAATTAACTCTTATCCAAGGACCAATCTCACTTCATTAGAGAAACTTATTAATAGGACTGGACTGCTAGGTAGTACCATAGTGCATAGAACTTCAGGCCTGGAGTCAGGAAGACTGATCTTCCTGAGTTCAAATCCGGTGTCAGACACTTACCAGCTGTGTGGCTCTGGGGAAATCACTTAACCTCAGTTTACCTCAGTTCCTCATCTGTAAAATAATCTGGAAAAGGAAACAGCAAACTACTCCATTATCTCTACCAGTAAATCCCTAATGGGGTCCCAGACTTAAAAAAGACTTAATAACAACTTTGTTTCCTAAGACTCCCCATTACTCCCCTGACATATATTTATTTCACCACATGCATGTTGAACTTCTGTGTTATCCTCTATTCCCAAACTTCTTCATCCCCCTAATCTTTAAGGACAGAAAGTGTTTTCGATTTGTTTGTTTTGTATCACCAGAACTGGGCCCAGTGCCCGGCATCGTGGTGCTTGGCACCTAGTCAACAGTTAATATTTATCAATAAATGTATTGTGTTGACACTCAATAAATTGACTGGAATAGAGGACTTGGTCTGTGGAAATGGTACATTATAATATCTTGTGGGCAGTAATTACCTATATTTCCAAATCTGTTGTATATCATTCCCCACAGAAAATTTCAGAAGATAAAACATCTTCATATACATTCAGCAAAGTATAAAATATTCAAACAAAATATTATATACCCCATTTAAAGAGAGGAGAGTTGTTTCAAATGTCAGACATTTGAATGGAAAATTATAGTAAAAGCTCAAAAGACAAGCCCCAGTCCTGGCCTTTTTCTGTCTTTGACTTGAGAGATTCCAAAGCTGCTGCTGCTTCTGTCACCTCCTCCCATGTCACAAATCTTTCTTTCCAACCTCCAATGTAATCCTGGGCTAGAAGAATGTCTCATCTGACTTTTTGTTGGTTCTGCCACTCCAGAATTCAATTTGAGGTGCTATTTTAAAGTCATTTGGAGGGGAATGCTGGAAGAGCTCATGCTTTCTCTACCATCTAGAATCCACCCCTGGAAGTCAGTTTAGATAATTCTTGATAGATTGATAGCAGAACTATTGTCCCACAGAAAAGAAAGCAAATGCTTCACTATAGAGAAGTGAAAACACTAACAACTTCCTACTGACACAGGTAGAGACAGGCAGGTGTAGTGGAAAAAGCTATGTATTTGGGGTCATATGTCTTTAAAGTTGAAACATCATTGGTTTATGGATGGAGAGGACCTTAAATACTATCTAGTCCTAGGCCCTTCCTTTTACAAATGAAAAAACTCTGAGCAAAAATGCCGGATTTGCCAGAGCTCAATCACTCATACCATTCTCTTATTCAATCATTCCAGGGGCTCTCTATTACCTAGTGGATCAAAAATAAAAAAAATCCTTTCTTCAGCATTCAAAGCCCTTTATAATGTGGCCCTTTCTCCTTTCCAGTATTCTTATACCTTAATCTCCTTTACATACTCTGATCCAGTGATACTGGCCTCTTTGTTCCTTGCACAAGGCACTATCTTGGGACTGTGCATTTTCTTTTCTTTTCTTTTTCTTTTTGGTGAGGCAATCGGTGTTAAGCGACTTGCCCAGGGTCACACAGCTAGTAAATGTCAAGTGGCTGAGACTGGATTTGAACTCAGGTCCTCCTGACTCTAAGGCCAGAGCTCTATCCACTGTATCACCTAGCTGCCCCTGGACTGTGCGTTTCCACCAGCTGTTCCTCATGGCTAGAATTATCTTTTTCTTTGTCTCCTGGTTTTGCTGATTTCCTTCAAGACTCAGGTAAAATCTTTCTGGTTTTTCTTTTATTTTTAATTAAAAAAATTTTTTTTAAACATTCATTGTAAAATTTTGAGTCCCAAATTCTCATTCCCTCCAGCCCCTCCCCCATCCATTGAGAAGGCAAGCAACATACCTCTTATACATGTGAAGTCACACAAAACAGATTTACATATTAGCCATGTTGCAAAAAAAAAAAGCAAGAAAAATATCGAAAGTGGAAAAATATGCTTCAATCTGCACTCAGGGTTTATCACTTCTCTCTGGAGAAGGATAGCATTTTTCATCATGAGTTCTTTGGAATTATGAAAATAGCGTCTTCCGAAAAAAGCCTTTCCTCTTCTAATGATTAACTGTATTTACGTATCACATTTACAGTCTTTAATTTAATTTAATTTAATTAATTTACATCTTGTTTGAACATAGTTGCTTGCATCTTGTCTTCAAGTTCCCTACTCCTACCCCCATTAGATGGCGAACTCCTTGAGGGTAGGGACAATTTGTGCCTTTGCTGTATTCTAGGGTTTAGCATAGAATTTATTAAGCACAGGCGCTTAAGAAATACTTCTTGGCCCCATAAGTATCTATTATGTTGCAAGTCTAGAGTTCATAGGTTTATAGATTTAGGTCCTGACAGAACCTTAGACTGTCAAGTTCAATCCTTCATTAAGGATAAGGAAATGAGGTCTGAGAGAGTTTAAGGGAATTGCCCCCGGGAAATGCAACTAGCAGGCGTCCTGGACGCAGCTTGCCTCAGGGACCAACAGGTCCATCCCCTGGATTACTCCCTGCCCCATTCCCCCCGCCCCCCAACCTTAATAATGAGTTGGAAGGTTTGAGGTCAAACACAGGCATTGCTATTTCCCACTTGTGTGACCTCTCTGGGCTTCCCTTTCCTCATCTACACAAGAAGGAGATTGGATTTGAAGACCTCCGAGCACTAAATCCAGGCTGTAAACCCCTAGGCTCGCTCAGAACAGAGGGCACGCGCCCCAGCCTCCTCGCGCGCGCTCCCGATTTCGGGAACGCGGCCCAATCCCGCGCGTGCGCGAGCTCGTTGGCAGACGCGAGGTGGAGGGGGCGGGGAGAGGAAGTTGGACGATGATGGCGGCGGTAGCGGGAACGTCCGCGGTGCTGCGGCGATACGTGGTGGCCCCGGCGGGGCAACATAGCGCCTCTCTGATCATGCTGCACGGTTCAGGTGGCTTTCGGATTTATGCGTCGATTTTCTGTGGCGTGGGTTCAGGGAATGGTTCCCCCTGCCCCGGGATCCCTCCCAGTCGGGGCCTACTTGATGGACTTCGGACTGGAGAGGCGCGTGCCGCTGTCGGCCTGGGCCCTACTGCGCAGGCCCAGAACTCCCAGCCACCCTCACCCCTTCCCCCCCATACCTCCTCCATCTCATCAGTCCTCCACCGCTTGCGCAGTCCCCGGCCTTTAGAGTCATCACCCTTTGCAACCCCACAAGATTTAGGATCTTTGGATCGTAGATCTGGAAATGAAAGAAACTTCAGAGGCCATGTAGGCCAACCGCCTTCCTTCATTTCACAGATCAGGAAACTGAGGCACAAGTAACTTGCCTAAGGTCGTGCAGGTAGTAAATGTTTTCCTCTCGCATCCCTTGATTGTCCTGGGAGGCAGATTGACATGGTCCACGAAGTCTGGGCACTGAAGTTCATGGAGACCAAGGTTCACGTGCTGCCTACATCAGCTGTGTGACCACGACTGATGCAAGTCCACTTCGGATAATAGTTTATATTTATATACCGCTTTGCGTATCTCGCAGCAACCCCTGGGAGGTAGATCTTAATAGCTCCATTTTATGGAGGGATTTGAGGTTAAATGATTTACCTAGCTAGGGTTTTCAAACTGGTAAATGTCTGAGGCTGAATTCGAACTCATGTCTTCCGGACTGCAGTCTCAGCCCTCCATCTATTGTGACAGATCGCAATTTTTTTGAAGATTTAAGTTGCAGAGGATTTCCCATTGGGCATTGGTAGAAAGTTTCCTCACCTTGTTCTATCTGACTTCAGAGCCCAGTCACTGCTTCCTTTGAGATCAGGTGAAGTCTTTTGCCTCTTTTTTTAATTTTTGTATCCCCAGTGCTTATCACAGTGCCTGGCACATAATAGGTGTTTAATAAATGTATGTTGATTATTGATGAATACTATCTTCCATCAACAGCTTTCACTTACTATTTGAGACCTTAGATCTAAATTGATGGCACTGTTGCCTTTAAAACATTTTCATTTGCCTTTGAAAGTTTAATGTAAGGGATATTCGAATTTTTCATTGTTTTGGAAAAGCAGTATTGTACAATGGAAAGGATGGTGGTGAATTGGGAGTAAAGAGAATTTTTCAAAGTCTCAAACTTTACTGGAACCATATCTCTTGCTCTGTGCCTCTTTTTCATCTTACATAAAATGAAGGGTTGAACTAGATGACTCTATACAGTTAAGCTCTGAATGCGTGAACCCATGATTTTCTTGTAAGCAGAGTGCTTTGTAAATCATGAAGCCTTATATAAATATGAGCTATTATGTGTTTTGGAGGTTTACACAAAATGTAGAGACAGTAACATTTGGAAAGGACTGTTAAAATTATCTTGTCCCTCATTTTACAGATGAAAAACTGAGGCCCAGAGAAATTAATTAATCTACCCCAGTTCTGGAACCCAGGTCTTAAAGACTCCCCAAATTCAGACTGCATTTCAAAACAATTACAGTCTGGATGGGGAAAATATCAACATGTGAAAACTTATTACAGTTGTCATGTTATTACAGTTGAAGATGACAGTAAATTATTTTTGTTTGTTTGTTTTGGTTAGGCAGTGGGGTTAAGTGACCTGCCCAGGGTCACCCAGTTAGTAAGTATTATGTGTCTGAGGCCGCATTTGAACTCAGGTCCTCTTGAATCCACTGTGCCACCTAGCTGCCCTGTATATTGTTTTTAATACATAATCATCAGATACAGAATGACCCAGATACAGTCGGGGTTGAGTACTGGATTTAGAGTTGGAAGACATAGATTCAGTTCCTGCTTCTGACCCTTACTGGCGCTGTTAACCAAGAATTCTAGAGGAGTTGATGGAAAAAGTTCCCCTGAAATAAATATCAGGTCCTTCTGGTACATGTACATTATTATCAAATGTATGGATAATAATTGCCATAGTTAAGAGACTAAAGAAATGACTTAAGCTGAAACAGGGAATCCTTTACAAAGAAACTGGGATTTACTCTGAATCTTAGATAAGCATTAAAGCATCATAAGTTTAGAGTTTATAAGCCCTAAATTGAGTTTAGCCCAATCATTTAGTCTAACCCTCTTTGTTTTGCAGGCCAGGAAGGGGAGGCCCAGGGAATTGAAGTGACTTTAAATTCAGTCTCATTTGTTCATACCACTACACATTGCTTCCTGTAGAAGAGATCATATTGTGCCTTGAACTGTGGTTTAGGGGGTTTGGGACATTATCCTATAGGCAGTAGGTATCCTTTGAAAAATTTTCAGTGGAGGAGTTATAAGGGATATAGGAAGGTTAGTTTTTATGTCACATGTGGGATGAATTAGGGCTTTGGAAAAGGTAATAGGGAAAGATTAAAAAAGGAAATTGCAGGTAGGCTATTGAGGGTCTTGAGATTATATGAACCTAAACTATGTGGTGTCAGAGAAATAGGAATGGATAAGATAAACCATTTTAGGAAGAAAGAATTCATAGGATTTTGTGACTGGATGACGGAACAAAAGAAGAGGGTGGAGCCAAAGATGGCTTCACAGTTTTAAGCTTGTAAAAATAACAGTAAAAATTTTATACCTTAAGTGCCTAGAAAACCTAAAATGATCGTGTTTGATTAAAAAAATCTTCTTTTAAATGTACTCCAAGCCTTATTTTCTTATTCCCTTTGCCTCTTTATTCAAATGCCTTTCCTCATGTTTAATTTGAAAAGAATTACTGACATTTTTTTACAAATTATAACATATTCTATTTTACAAATTGTAACATATTCATATTCTGATGAAGGCAATTTTCCAACGATTTCTTTCAAAATGCAAATAGTGGAACCCTTTTATATTAAGTTCTCAATAAATACTTGTTGAATTGAATAATGCTGCTATTGGGAGGACAAGCCTGAGAGCCATTTTGGAGACTAGCCATATTGTATTAGTATTTTATTGTCTATGCATGGGCAGCTAGGTGGTGCAGTGGATAGAGCATCAACTGTGAAGTCAGGAGGACCTGAGTTCAAATCCAGCCTCAGACACATAATATTTTCTAGTTGTGTGACTCTGGGCAAGTCACTTAACCCCAATTGCCTCACCAAAAAAAAAAAAAAGCAAACAAACAAAAACAAAACAAAAAAAATGTTGTCTATAGATAGGTTTGAAGAGCAAATGTTTGGCTCATAGTGTATCTGAATTTGTATAAAAATGAGCCGTTGTAACAGGGTTGTATTTTACTGTTCTATGATGGAGAACAATTCTTGCCAGGTGGACTTTGTGAATGTATTAGCATCTCTTCTGTGTAGCATTTTGTTTTTCTTTCCAAAATGGAGAAAAGATTTTCATAGACAAGTTTTTGCTAGTTAAAAACTTGAAAGGAACCAGATACTGGGCCTTACTTGTCATTTGTAGGAAAAGAGGTGGAAGGTAAGGTTTGGCCCAATTTATTTTGAGCCTTTCCTTCCACTAAGGCATGCATTGAAAACAGAATTAGGACTTTCTTTAAAGTGACAGGGAAATACATTTATCATATATTTAACTGTTCTTAAATGGAAAACATAACACATTTCACTGAGAATTTTTCTAATTCAGTCAGCTGGTTTTGGTTTGTTCTTTTACTGATTTTTGTCCTAGCAGGATCTTGGAGCATATGAACATAAGGAAATTAATGAGGCATGCTATCTTTTGTATCTTTTAAAGTATTAACTTTTTTTTAAAGAAATAATTTTGAATAGAAAGAAAAAATTATAGCTGGAGGGACACTCCACAAATAGTTTAAAATCATACAGTTTATTATTGTTGTTCATTATATTTGGAATTCAGCTAAAAGAACAACTCATGAAAAAGCAGATTGTTTTAACTGATATTGTTGTTGCTATTTTATTTTATTTTTTTTTCTTATTAGTGTTCTTTACTAGTTAGGTAGTCATTTTATTTAATAATTGATGTCTCTTCTTCCTAGGACTTCCCAGTTTGGATCCAGCATATCAACAGTGAGAGCTGGGAGAGGTCTTAGAGGCTTTGTGGTTCACCTCCTTCATATTAAGGGCAGGGAAACTAAGAGATTAAGTGACTTGCTCTTGGTCACAGGAGTAGGTGATAGAGTGAGGACATAAACCCATATTCTCTGTCTGTAAAGCTAGATATGAAGTGATTATTATCATTATCATTTGTTATCTTTTCCATGGAGTTTAGATAGAAATAGCCCTGGGACAGGTGGGTTAGATAAAATAAGAGTATTGTGTAAATATAACTTTATGACAACTCTAGAAGCAGACAGGATGAGAAGAATGATATATAACTCATCCTCTTTCCACATGACAATTATTTTTTCTGCTAGATCTCTAAACTTTGAAAACTTTTGTTCCACAGAACTTGGAGATTGAGTATTTGGCATAATGACATCTATTAAAGATGTTGTTCTTAAATTTTTATAGATCATTGCTATGTGTTAGTGGTTATTGGCAATAATTCTGTCTCTGATAATGATCTGATTCTAGTACAGGTTATGTGTTGAATTCTTAAGAGTTTTGAGATTTTTATTTTGGAGGTCTGTCATCTGTTAATTTATAAAAGACACTGAGTTTCTAATGTATAATTCTAGCCAAGTAAGTAGTGCCTTGCTAGGTATTCAGTAGGTGCTAAATTTTTGCAGCCTATAATGATGCTTTACACAGTTTCTACTGTTTCTTTGTACAGTTTATATTAATCAATAAGTACAGACTCCTTAAGGATAGCCCTTCTTTAATTTCTGGTGAGCTGATCCTTAATTGTGATCATAAACCACTCTGTTTCTATAAACAAATCTTATATAGAATGATGTAGTAGAGCCACAAAATCCATTAGAATTAATTCAGTAAAGGACGAGGGGCAGCTAGATGGCGCAGTAGATAGAGCACCAGCCCTGGAGTCAAGAAGACCTGAGTTCAAATTAGACCCGAGACACATGACCCTTAACCCCAGTTGCCTAGCCAAAAATAAACAAAGAAATTAAAACAAACAAACAAAACAAAAAAAGGACAGAAGAAGAGAATTAGTATTTGGTGATTCCCTGTTCAGGGGTTCAGAGGCAGGTATTTGTTGATTCTATAAGAGCAATAGCCAGACTAGGAAAAGGAATAAACATTTGTATGTGTTCTTGGCACTGTGCTAGGCACTTTACAGATATAGTCTAATTTAATCAAGCCCTGTTGTTTTCCAAAGGCATAAGATATAACAAGGAACCTCCCAAGATTTATCCGAATGGATGACCATACACTTCTGGTGCTTTGCATGGGCACAAATGACGTAGCCATAAATAATTTAAAAAGTATTAAAAAGCAATTTTGAAGTCTTTAGAAAATAAACTGAAAACCAAAGTGACGAAAGTTGACAGGTTTTATTTTCCTCATAATTGCCTTTTGAATACAATAGATACAAAAAACCTAACAAAAACAAAGGAGTGAGCAGCAGCTGGCTAAAAATGCTTTCTGAAAATAAGATTTAGAGTTGTAGAGCAATGCTTAACAAACAGAGATGATAGTTTACTAGCCAAAGAGGAATTATAATTAATGAATTTAGTTAGAATAGATATATTGCAAATATTATCACGAGGGAGGAAGATGACTATCTGTGGATGACCTCCAAACCAAAGAGGTTAGCACAAGGAGACAAATTTTTGCGCGTTGGTATCACTGAAACTTGGTAGGATGAAACCTGTGATTGAATCATGGCTCTGGATGAATATTTTTCATTGTGTTTTTCATTCAAAAGAAAACAGGCAAAAGAGGTAGAGTGGGGCAGGATTGTACATTAAGAAGTTATCCTCATGAGAAAATCCAGGAACCAGAGATGGTAATTATGACAGAGAATACTTAGGTGAAGGTTAGTGATAGGAGAGACAATAATTTTTGTCATTGTAGTATACTAAAGAACACCAGGATAGAAAGAGGAAGTAGATGAGGAGTTTAGGAAACAAACCTGCCTGATTCAGAGGCATGATAAAGTAGTAATGGGAGATTTCAATTATTCAGGCATCTGATCGAGTCCTCTTTTTGCCAGTAGCAAGGCAGCTAGTAAGTTATTGACAAGCTTTAATTATAATTTCATCTTTCAAGTAGTGGAAGATTCAACAAAGGGAAATTATATTTTGGACCTTTATTTTCATTAGTTGTGAGGAACTAGTTGGTAGAATAGAAATGATGAGATTCTTGGGGCGAGATGTGGGTGTGGCAGAGAGAGAGTAATCGGTCTCTTAGAGTTTTGGAAAAGTTGTGAGTAGATAATTAAAAAGATCATTAGTAAATATCTAGAAACCAATGCAGTGATTACAAAGAACTAGTGTGGTTCTATCCAGATTAGGTCATGCCTCCCTCCCTCCCTTCGTTCCTTCCTTCCTTCCTTTCTTCCTTTCTTCCTTCGTTCCTTCCTTCCTTCCTTCCTTCCTGATAAAGGGAATACTGTGGATGTAGTTTACCTATGTGGCAGCTGGATAACACAATAGATAGAGTACTGGACTTACATTAAGGAAAACCTGAATTTAAATCTGGTCGTAGACACCTAGTAGCTGTGTGATTCTGGCCAAGTCACATAATCTCTGTCTACCTCAGTTTCCTCAACTCAAAAATAAGAGTAAAGATAGTCCGTGTCTCACAGGGTTGTTGTGAGGATCAGATGATGTAATATTTGTAAAGTGCTTAGTACAGTGCCCAGCACATAATATTTGCTTAATAAAAGCTTATACCCTTCGCTTCCCCCTCCCTAGATTTTACCAGAGTTTCTGATAAGTATCTCATACTATTCTTGGGAAGAAGATGGAGATATGTGGATTAAATTATAATACAATTAGATGGATTCACAATAGTTGGAATGCTGTTTGTCAGATGGAAAATGGATTGAATTTGTTCTATTTAATCCCATAGAGAAGAACCAGGAGCAATAGATTGAAAAACCGCAAACTTTCTCACAGTTATCGGTATCTAGAAGTGGAATGGGCCCTGCCTTAGAGGAGGTCTTCAAACAGAGTTAAAATGATCATTTGTCACATATGTTATAGTGAGTGTTCCTTTCATACATGCATTGGAATAGATTGCTTTTGAGGGTCAGTCAATCAGTAAGCATTTATTAAGCAGCTACTATGTGCCAGGTACTGTACCTCTAACTCTCACATTCTTTGATTCTGTGAAATTTGCATAAATTAACCAGTTGCTTAACTACTCTTTATTTGTATATTGTTGGTTGAGTTCATGTTGAAGCTGCCCATGGAGAACTTTTTGAGATGATGATGATAATAATGGTCTTTGAAAATAGAATTTTTTTTTTTTTTGGATAAGCAGTGGGGTTAAGTGACTTGCCCAGAGTCACACAGCTAGTAAGTGTTATGTGTCTGAGACCAGATTTGAACTCAGGTCCTCCTGACTCCAGGGCTGGTGCTCTATCCACCGTGCAACCCATCTGCCCCTGAAAATAGAACTTTTAATCGTGGCTATAATTGGATATTCTAGTACAGCTAATGTTTTTATGTTGCACTGAATTATTATGCTTGTGTTCCATAACTTTTGTAGTATAAGAAACATGACTAATTAAAATGAGAATTTAACTAAAGTAGACAGTGTAAGTGAATAACCTTCTGCAAAATATGATTTGACTTTTAAAGAAATAGTTGGATATGAACTTAATGAAGTAATAGTGATCATGTGTGATTCATGGACTTAATTGTAATGCTCTTTTATCTTCATTGTGTTTATGGTTCATATATATCACTATGCCAGCTGTTGAGGATTTTTTTTTTAAATTCTCACTGACTTCTACAAAGCTACTGTCCAAATATTGTGCAGTGTTGAAAAAATGATCCTTTATTTTTTATTTCATTTGAAATATATGTAAAGAACTGTTTAACTTCTTGGTTTGGGAAGTTTACTGTGAGGTATATTTGAACTTTGGTAGACATCTGTGTCTATAAAGAAATTTCAGTAGTTGTCTTTGAAATTCATTTGAGGGGATACTAGTTTTTAGCTGCCTGTATAATACTAATATGATATGACATTGTTGTGAATCATAGATGCTAAAACCTCAGTTTTAAATCTTTTGATTTAATAAAAACACCCCAGTCCTTAAATTGTGGAGTTGGTTTTAGTACCTTTCCAATAATACAGATGAAAATTGGTAATTTGGCATTTGTTTTAAATGGGCATATGATTTATCAATTAAATTTAATACACTTAAAATCCTAGCTTTAGGTAAGAATCATAGACATAAAGCTGGAAGGGACTTTAAAGGTGACTTAGTTCAATTCTTCCTCACCTACTTCCAATCCTCTTCCCTGAATTGTACCAACAGGAAATTAAGGTCTAGATCTAGACCCTGATTGCAAATATCCTTTGACTCTCAGAAGAAGGATTAATTCCTAATTCTGATTGTTTTTTATACCTCAGGGTATATATTAATTGTTTTATAGTATATAAAAACTTATTAAAACAAAATTTAAGTTTCTGTAAGTGAATAAATCAAAGTGTACCACAGAATCATTTTGGGCAAGTGGAAGGTAGTGAAACCTAGCAATGACAGGTTTTCACAAACTTTAGTTACTCTTAGGAATTTATTTGCTGTCCTGAGGAATGAATTTTTAAAAAAAAATTACCTTAAGCAAATGGGAAATAGAATTTTTTAAAGTTTGTATTTTTGGAGAAATTTCCTTTTCATGTATTTGCTAAGATAAATTTAACAAGCGAGAAAATCCAAAATTTCATAATCAAATCCACTTCCCCAGAAAGTAGTGGTGAAACTATGAATAAAAAGTAATAATATTTTCCAGTCATTGTTAAACTAGCAGTTCTGTTTCTTTTTATTTAGCTTCCAGGAGTATAAGCATGAAAATCTTGAAAATGTTTGAATAATATAAATCTACTTTATTTTCATATATTTTTCTTATTGAAAAATGTGTTATGTATCACAATGTGAATATTATCTTGTAAGAATTACTCTGATGATAATTTATTTTATGAAGTGTGCCACAAATCAGTTTAGTAGTTAAATTTGTTCTAACAAATATTTACCAATTTCAGTGGAACAATTTTGGTTTCTAGCCTTATACTTAAAATCTTTGCCTTCATGTATCCCCAGGTGATTCTGGCCAAAGATTCAGAGGATGGATCAACCAAGTTTTAAATCATGACTTAGTTTTTCAGCACATCAAAATTATTTATCCAACAGCTCCTTCCAGGTATGTAGTGACTGGACTTATTGACCAATATAACTTTTTTTTTTAATATAAAATGCAAATAGTAATGGTGTTGGAAATATATTAAAGTTATTTCCTTGTGCTTTGACTTTTTAATAAATGCACCATTATTTTAAATTAAATTTTCGTTACTTAAATTTGACCCCAAAGTTAGGGAGGACATCTAAGATTCTTTAAACTTGTTACATTATCTTAAATCATATCAGATTAGTAATTTTCTCCTCCAAAGAAATTCTTACTTGAAATATCACTTCTAGACCATTTTTTACCATGTGAATAAATAAAACCTTCTGTATCAAGGAGAAACAGAAGCAAAATCCTAATATAAGTCAATCACAGGTAAGAAAGTAGTAGGCTTTTCTTTTCATTCACAAGTGATACCCAGTGGGTAGGAGTGGACAAGCTTTAACAGGTTTTTCAAGTAAGGGCTAAGATATCGGAGGAATTTTTTAAAGAAGTATATTTAAAGAGTCCTTTCATGCAGTCCCAGTATTGGAAGAGTCCATCTTCTTCAATCCCTGCCTGAACAAGAATCCCCTCTATAACATCGTGGATAAGTTCATTCAGTTTTTGCTTGAAGACTTCCAGTGAGGGGGAGTGTAGACTGAGAAGGAACAGCCAGACACATAGGAAAAGATCTAGAAAAGATCAGTTAAGTGGTCAGTCATATCACAAGGCACAGAGCGGTCAATATGATAAGAACTGAGAAAAAGACAGATTTAGCAGTCAAAGACATTGGTAAATTGGGAGGAAGCTGTTTTGGTTGAGCAGTGGGGTTGGAAACCCCATATTAAAAGCTATCTTTCAGAATGGCATCTTGAAGATACCAAAAGAAATTCCAAGGAGGAAGAAAATGGACAATATTCTGAAAAACCAATGTGTTTTCACAGAGAACTTACCAAACAAGTGTTAGAGAAAACCCCTTGATGAATACTTGTCACCTGGAATAGGTCAACTGAAAAATGTAATTACTGAGCTACCATCAGCAATATTTGAAAAATTCTGGAAAAGGGCAAAGGCCCAGTTTTCTGAAAAGGAAAAGTAGAATTTGTCAACTATGGGCCAGTCACCTTGACTTCAGTTCCTTGGAAAGCTGTAGAAAAGCAGTGTCAGATATGTGGCCCACAGACCATAGTGCAGGCCACAACACTCTGACTTGGGCCAGAACTAGATTAAAATGTGATTAACACATTTTTAACAAAATAAATAAAAGCACAATAGAAGCTAGATAATGTTAATATATGGTTTTCTAAGTCAATATGCATCCTACAGGGATCCCTATTATATATAGTTTAGTGGCCCCTGCTTCTGTTTTGAGTTTGACACCACCATTCTAGAACATACTCTTAAAGAGATGGTTAGTGAAAACCTAGAAAAGCATCAGTGACTAATAGCCAACATGGCTCTATTAAGAGCAGGTCATGACAGTCTAAACTTATTTACTTTTTTGATGGGGTTACTATACTGGTAGCTGGAAAATATCTAAAGATAGTACCATGCTTTTCTTGCAGAAAAGTTGATATAGGCTAAGTGATAGTATAATTAAGTAGATAATTAAGTAGATGGTTGATTGGCCAGACTCAAAGAATAGTAAGTGACTGAAGGATTTGTACTTGGCCATGTGCTATTAATCTTTTTGCTGATGAATTCAGTAAAGGCATAGATGACATGCTTATTGGATTTGCAAGTGACACAAAGCTAGAAGAAATTAACACTCTTAATGATAGAGTCAGGATCTAAAAAAATCTTGATAGTTATCAGGGATGAGGAACTTGCAGCCTCAAGGCCACATGTGGCTCTCTGGGTCTTCAAGTGTGGCCCTTTTACTAAATCCAAACTTCACAGAACAAACCCCCTCAATAAAAGGATTTGTTCTGTAAAACTTGGACTCACTCAAAAGGGTGCACCCAAGAACTAAAAGGCCATATGTGGCCTCAAAGCCACAGGTTCCCCTCCCCTGGGTTAGATAGAACATTAGGATGAATCTAATAAAATGAAATATAATAGAGATAAAAATAAAAACCTTACTTATGTCTAAAAATTCAATTTCATAAATATAAGATGGATCATTAATGGTTAGTCAACAGTTTGTCTGAAAATCTGGGCAATTTGGTAGACTCAATATGAGTCAGTAATGACAGAGGGCAGCCAAAAAAGACTAAGAGAATCTTGGACTTCATTAAAAGAAGACTAACTTCCAGAAAAAAAGGAGAAAATGGTAAACTTTACCCATATAATGTACTGCCTGCCAGCTAGAATAGACTAAACTGAATTCAGTGACTCCATGAAACAGGAAGTATTAGAACAAAATCAAAAGATTGAAAGAAAAAAATAGATGAAATTTCAAACTGTCTGATAATAAAAGCAACTTACTTGAAAAACAGGTCAAGGGGAGATAATATAAGAATCATTGGACTCCCTGAAAGCTATGATTTAAAAAAAAGGCCTAGATACCTATATTTCAAGAAATCGTAAATGATGACTCAGAACTATGAGAATTATAGGGCAGAATGAAATTGGAAAGACTCCATCATTCACCTGTGGAAAGGAATCTCCAAAGGAAAGTTCTCTGTTATATCATAGCCAAAATCCAGAGCTTCCATGTCAAAGAAAAAAAATACTGCAAGAATCCAAAAGGAGTTATAATGACCAGGTAGCGACATCTTCCCTGTATCCTTCTCATTAGAATTTTTTTTTATATGTACATCTTCAGAATTCTATTCTTGAGAGCTTCCCAGGACTCCTTGGCTGAGTTCCCTTTCAGAATTAGTCCATGAGATTTTTCCTTTTGTTTCTCTAAACTTTGAAATTTGCTCTCGCAAAATCTAGAGTGAATTTGAGATGATGTCTCAATTTCTTCATATCTATCACAGATTCTGAGATCATAATATAAATTTAGGACTGCAGGGAACCTTGAAATCATCTCATCAGATTCATGCAGATTACAAGTGAGGACGCAAAGGCCCAGAAAGATTACACGGCTGTCCCACAGTCACAGTTACAGTAGTACCCAGCAAAGACAGTTTCAAACCCTAGTCCTCTGACTCTAAATCCAATTCTTTTTCTACTACACCATTCTTCAGTAATTATTTCTCTCTGTGGTTCCCATCATTTCCATATAAGCAATCACTATGGGTAAAAATTAAAATAAAAATAGAAAATCTCCTTGGTTCCTCCACCTTCTGAAAAATGAAATTGTCATTAAGGTAAGCAAAAAAGTTATTTTTTTGCGCAGCCTTTGCAGAGTGTGAACTTTAACAGAGGTTTAAATCATTGAAGTTCTTCATTATTGTCTCCACACCAGGCTCATGATCTGTTTCCCTGAACCCATCTCCTTCTTATTTTTGTAGTTTGATACACCCTTAACAATACCTTTTATGTTTCTACTTCTACTTATCTTTACCTCAAAAATGTCCACTAGGCTTACCCTATACTTCGTTCCTAGATTTTCTGACATGAATATATTCTTTATGTTCAGAAAGTCTCATTATCCAAGTCTCATTGCAACCTGTCAGGCCAAATTTGCCTCCTTAAATTAGGGTAAGATCATTATTTTATTCTGCATTTTCCCCATACTTTTTGCACTTGTATATTGACAGTTGAGTCCATTTCTTCCCTTCCTCATCCTCTAAATTAAAGCTCTTTTTTATTAGATTTGCTAGACTCTAAGCAACTATATTCTAAGTGAAATTCATCCTTAGCCAGGAGTCTTTCATTCCATTATTTAAAAACATGGTCCAGAAATCATTATCTCATTCTAAGACACCAGATTTATTATCAGCTGCTCACTTCCCAGATCTGCCTCTCTATTTGAGGCAGATCTGGGAAGTGAACATCTAATAATTGCTTGATCATCAACAGTGATGAAATTACCACCTTTGCTTCAGTTTTCTTCCTTTTTTTCCTCCCAAGTCTTCATACTCTTTAGCAATATCCTCTAGAGTCCTTTCTTGGGCCCTAGTATATCACTAAAAGCAGTGATGACTTAAAATCATCCATCTAGTTTATTGGGAGTTTTCCTATCAGGTCCTTGACATATGCTTCAGGACAGAAGTCCTCCTGCTGCATTTATCCTATGGACAGATAAATGTGTCATTACCCCTCAGCATGGCATCTTAAAATAAACTATTTCTCTTTTCATCCTCTAACCGTTTTTTTTCAGATCACCTCTTAAATAAAAACAACTGTGGGTGCTCATCATCATTCCTTGAAAAACAACTGCTTCCTCCTCAGAGAGCCCATCTAACTTCTTATTCTTTGGGAAGTACAGCATATTTGTTACTTAATTTCGTGTGTCTAGTGGTCCTTCTCTTTCTCCTCTGTGCCATATTTTTTGGTCATCCAATCTCCTGACAGAATCGGTGGTCTCCTTTGTCACTTTGTATCCTTTAAAAAAATTTCGCATCAAAACCGTTCTTTCATTTAAGAAATGTTATTAAATAATTTTTTCTGTCAGATAACCAGGAGAGTAGAGAAGTATTCTTTTGTCCCTTTTATCTTCTTTTCTAGTAGGGAGACCAGCCTGCATTTTGAACATAGATAATCATTTATCTGTCACAGAAAGGCAAATATCACCAGATACTTTTTTCATTATACTCTATCTAGGTGTTTGTTAAATTTGACATCCTTTTCATACTTTCTAGGAGCAAAATCCTCAGTCTTTTATTGTTCTTGATAATACTTTTTGTGGCCATCTCCTTTGGAAAATTCATACATGACTTTCCTTAATCATATCAACTTCTTTTTCCTTGAGTCCTACTTCTTCTAAAACTTCTTCAGTCTTGTGCTGGGTCATACAACCAGTAAGTGTCAGAGGGAGTAGTCAGACCCAGGTCTTTGCAACCCCACGTCTTAGCACTCTCTTATACCATGCTGCTGCTTTCCAGGTTAGGAAAACTGGGAAAGTCACTTTTAATTCTCTTTTTCATCCTTTATAAAGCATTTGGTTGGATTAAATGACCTCTAAGATGCCTTTTAATCTT